AATAGTTATTATAGTTATAATAGTAATGATAAAAATAATAGTAATAATAATGATAATAAAGTTAATGATAATAATGACCATAACAATAATAATACTGATAATAACAAAAATGATAATAATAATAATAATAACAACAACAATTATAAATATGATAATATGATAATAAAAATGATGACTAGTAATAAAAAATATGATAATAATCATAACAAGAATAACAATAATTATAATAATAATGATACTGATGATGATGATAATGATAATGCTGATAGTAATGCTGATAATAACGATAGTAGTAAAAATCATAATAATGATAATAATAATAAGAGTAATGACAATATATGATAATGATAATGATGATGATGATAATGATAATGATAATAATAATAGAAATAATAATAATAATAATAATAATAATAACAATATTGTTAATAGCAATAATGATAATAATACATATGACAATAATATTAATCATAATCATGATGACGTTAGCAATAGTGATAATAATAATAATAATAATGATAACAATTATAATGATAACAATAATGATAATGAAGATAATGGTAATAATAATAATATCAATAATGATAATAATATCAATAATAATAATAATAACATTTATAACAATAATAATGAAAATAACGTTAATAATAATAATATTAATAATGACAGTAATGATGATTATGATAATGATGATAATAATAATAATAAAGGTAATAATGACAATTGTAATATTGATCATAATAATAATGGTAATACTACATCTAATAATAGCAATAATAATAATGACGTTAATAATAAAAATGGATTAATGATAACGATAATAATGACAATAATGATAATGCTGTCAGTAAAAGTTAAAATGATGATAATGATAATCGTAATAATAACAACAATAATGATAGTGACAAAATAAAAATAGTGATAATAATGATAATAATGATGATGCTAATAAAAATAACAATGATGATGTTAATAAAAATAATAAGCATGATGCATATAAAAATAATAATGATGATGCTAATAAAAATAATAATGATAATGATAATTACAATAATGATCATTATTATTACTATTGTACCATTACTATCATAATAATAATAATAATAATAATAATAATAATAATACAAATAATAATGATAATAATAATAATAATAATAATAGTAATAATAATAATAGTAATAATAATAATAATAATGATAATAATAATAGTGATAATAATAATAATGATAATAACAATAGTGTTACTAATAATAATGTTAATAATAATGACAATAATGGTAATAATGATGATAATAATGATAATGATGATAGTAATGAAACGATAATAATAATAATAATAGTAATAATAATAATAATAATAATAATAATAATAATAATAATGATAATAACGATGATAATAATAATAATTATTATTATAATAACAATAATTAAAATAATAACAATAATGATTATAATAATAATAATGATAATAATAATAATAACAACAACAATAACAACAACAACAACAACAACAACAACAACAACAACAACAACAACAACAACAACAACAACAATAATAATAACGATAACATGGCTCTAAAGTTCACTTCCCTGTGCCTGCTCTACCCCCCCCCACCCCCCCCCGTGAGAGAGCGTTCGTGACGTGGCGAGGATCGGCGTCCTTGACCCACTGATTCTTGCGCTGTTTTCGTTCGCTATTTACCAGGGAATCGGCTCGGAAGCGGCGATGCTCTGATTTAAGGAAGGAAATGATAATAAAGATGAAAGGAAGGATTAGATGAATTGATAGATAGATGAATAGATAGGTAGATGGATAGATTGATAGATAAAGATAGATGGATGGATAGATGGATAAAGGTGGATGGATAGATAGATAGATAAAGATAGATAGATAAGGTAGATGGATAGATAGACAAATAGACAGATAGATATAGAGGGAGACAGATAGATGAAAAGATATAAAAAAAAAAACATGAAAAAAGTAAAACTATTAATGATGATGATCATGATGATAATGTTGATGGTGCTGGTGATTATGCAATACTACTGAACATGGTATGTAATGCTTGTCTTAACATTAAAAATAACATTAATCATAATCCAAATATTTTCAGTGATGAGGATGACGATGATGATAACAAATCCCAGAAATGATAAGAAGAATAAAACATGAGTATAACTGCAAGGGAAAAGAAGAAAATAGAAAAGTGATAGTAAAATCGTAGATGAAAATGATGTATTACAAGAAACCTGCCATAAAAAAAAGATAACAATAATCTTAGAAAGATTACCCTAATCTCAAAGGCGTGCCTCTTGACGTTGTGAAAGAGGATATAAGGCCATAAAATTACCCCTTCTTGATTAGGCATATATTTTTTCTTTTCTTGGATAGTTGTGTTTTCCCGGATATTTGGATATTTCAGTAATTCGGTTAAGAGGGAATAAAAATCTTGAACTTGGCTTGGAGACCTATCGTGTGATATGAAGGTGTCATAAGCTCTTCGGAAATTGTTTTTCTGGTCTTTTCCCCCAGCTGTTGGATAGTTATAAGTGGTCATCTTCTAAGTGCAGAAGTAGTAGCTTGTGTCCAAACCACCCTATTCTATGAAGTAATGTATATTGCTCGATTACTTTTCTGTGATTACTTAATATCCAGATATCCCAGTTTATAAATGATCACGTTTGTGAGTTATCC